AAAAAAAAAAAAGAGGTTTCTCATTTGTTGTAATTATACTTGCAAGGAAGGCTCACAATAAGAAGCTGCCTTGAAAACAAAACAAATTAGATACAACTAAATCATTTGTATTGTTAAAATATGATTTGACTTTAGCTCCAAAACTTTAAAGGCCCAAGGGGGAAAAAATAGCAGCAAATTAGAGAAAGGTGACTTGTTCAAATCTGTCTGAAAAAGGAATTTTAAATATTAAACTTTTGAAATTCTTAATTCTTGCTTTTCTGAAATTGAATACATTTAAGTTAAATAACTCCATAAAAATTTTTTTCATTTGTTGGTAGCCAGAAAGATACTTTAAATTTAAAGCATATCTTTAGAACAGAAGTTATTAAAATTTTTGAGCCATGGAATATGTGCAGCGAAGAATTAATCACTTCCAAAGAGAGATCGGGCCTTTGCCCTCAGCTACTGGGTGGTGATCTTTAGGACCCTGGAATGTCTTTCCTGTTAGGAGTGTCTTTGTCTGCCTGAGGGTTTTGACTACTGGACAGTCAACAATATGATTTATGATGGAGGCTTTGGAACATGCCACATCAGTTCCAACCTCTGGAGGGACTATAGACTAACGGCATTAGCCCAAACCCCTAGGAAGAGCTAAAGACACAGGGTTAGCGAGGAGGGCCATATGTGATCAAGCCTCAATAAAAAATCTGGATACCAGAAATTAAAAAAATCTGGATATCAATGTGAATTGTTCCACATCAATGCTGGGTGTATGGAACCCTCCCAGACTCTACCCAAAACATGTTTTCCTTCTGCTGGTTCTAATTTGTATCCTTTCCCTATAATAAATGTGACTGTAAGTATAATAGGTTTCAGAAAATTCTGTGTATTTCTAGTGAATTATCACACCTGAGGGTGGTTGTGGGGCCCCCCTAATTTGTAGACAGTTGACCTGAAGTGAGAGAGGTCCTGGGAGGACCATAACCCCTGAGCTTGTGGCTGATGTCTGAAGTGAGGGCAGTCTTGTGGAGGACTATACTCTCTGACTGTACAGTTTGCCAAATTCCTTGCAGAATGGAACCCTCTGTTGGTCTGATTAAATGCACAGTATCGCAGACTGTTATGGATTCAACTGTATCCC